GAGCCACACTGGCCCGGGCCCTGCTGTTCTCCTGGCCGCCAGCACCGCAGTGGCCTCTGACTGTTCGGTTACTGTATGGTGATGGCAGGTGAGAAGACAGCTCTGTGAAGAGGCCATGGCTTCCTTCGGAAAACTGGGCAAGACACACGGAACTATAATGAAGTGACCCGTGATCTAACGTCAGCCAAATATGCAAATATCTCATTTGTGTTACCAGTTTCCTGCTTCACCGTGATAGCAAGAGAGCTGGGCTTCGGCTGGGTGTCCTGGTGGTTCTTCCAGTCTAGAAGCTGTGTGATGGTGGCCGAGCCAGCCCCCTCTCTGGTCCCCAGTCTAGGAGCCGCGTGACGGGGGCCGAGCCAGTCCCCTCTCTGGTCCCCAGTCTAGGAGCCGCGTGACGGGGGCCGAGCCAGTCCCCTCTCTGGTCCCCAGTCTAGGAGCCGCGTGACGGGGGCCGAGCCAGCCCCCTCTCTGGTCCCCAGTCTAGGAGCCGCGTGACGGGGGCCGAGCCAGTCCCCTCTCTGGTCCCCAGTCTAGAAGCCGTGTGATGGGGGCCGAGCCAGTCCCCTCTCTGGTCCCCAGTGTCTTTACCTTCTGTGAGGGAAAAATAACAGCCATCCTGTCTTCCTGTCTGCGTCATTGAATTATGAGGATGAACCAAGATAAAAATACATGGACATTTTCTATCTTGCTATATTAGGGTCATTGGAACTCCTCAAAGCCATCATTATGACTAGACTTAGAAAGACCATTTTATATTCCCTTAATCAAAGGCGCAGAATTACCAACATAGACCTAGCTCTGTCACCCAAATGGCCAGCATTAAATTATTTTTGTAATTTTACCACTAATACACCGGAGAGATCTTAAACTTTTATGAGATTTCACTGTAATTTTTAAAGATGCAGTTTAGGTTTTTCAGTAAGAAAGATTTTTTTCTTCAATGAGAAAGGTGTCTTCTGTGTGAGAAAGAACAGTCGTTTCAGATTTGTGGTGCATTTCTAACACTGGCAACTTGACTCTGAAACACACGACCTACTAGACTCTGTCCTGCGTGACCATTATTCCTCTCCAGGTATGCGCTTCTTGGCTCCATAAACTGCTTGAAGATGAAGCCATTTGAGGCTGGTTCGTTCTCAGCATCGAGCAGCTCTGTATCCCTGGGCTGCCCTCCTGTTTCAGCCTGGTAGCCACTGAAGCAACGTACTTCTTGGTGTCCTGCTTTACGGTGGTGGCATTTCACCTGCCTTCTGTCGGACGTTGAGTGATCAGGCTTCTGTCTTAAGGAGTAGCCTGGGCTCTTCCTCCTGAGTCGTTTTTCTCTAAACCAGGGGTGTTAACGTTGGATGGGGCTCAGAGGGCCTGTGAATTTGCTGATACACACGAAACTCTGTTTGTGCATGCACAGTTTTGGCAGAAAATGTCTAGATTCATAAAGAATTCATCAGCTTTGCAAAGAGGTCGGAGACTTCAAAAATGATCCAGCCACGTTTTGCCAAGGAGGGTGTAGGCGCTGCCAGTGGACCCCGAAAGCGCTGTCAGTGGTTGAACTGGGTCAAATAGGTTTTGTGGTCCAAATGTCTGGTCGTCGAATACAGCTCTAGACACACGTCTCTTGGCTTTTCTGAAGTGTGTTTTACCAGCTGATGTTTTTGTGTCCCTGACTCTTGAGGAAAGGTGGGGACATATGTGACGTGGTTGTTTCTTCTGTCGTCTCCAGACCTCTTACGGTAGAGAGTGGCTGTTGGCCCCAGACTGAGTGGTCAGGACAGCTGTGACACTCTTCTCCCTCCCGTTTCGGAAGGGGTGCATCAAGGCTTGAGGACATGTAGGGAAGCCACGTGACAGAGAAAGTGGGGTGTCAGGCCCGTTTCCAGCTGCAGTGGGGAGGAAGGGTGTGGCCAGGGCCCCTCAGTGACTGTGTGTTCCTGATGCTGGTGACAGTCGGTGCCAGCGCCGCAGTTTCGCAGAGCTGCACGTTGTTGCTGCAGCTCGCCGTTCTGTCTGGGTTTTCCTGTCACCTCCCGCAGACAACTGGGTGTAAACACCTGCCGGGCCGTGGCCGTGGCTACTGTTGACTGCACTGTGGACGGATAACCCGTTCAACTTCTGTTGCTGTCCAAAGTCATGGCTTCATTAAAACGCCACTGACAGACTTCCGGTCAGGATGACGGGTAGGTAAACGTGGTCTCGCCTCCTCCCACAACCACATCAAAATGACAGCGAAACTACAGAACAACCATCCTTCAGAACCACTGGACATTGAGCTGCATGGAAGTCCTACAACTACGGAATTAAAGAAGCAGCCACACCAAGACTGGTAGGAGGGGCGGGGGCAGACAGCCTAGTCCCACACCCACGTTTGATGGATAAAAGTTAGGAGGAAACCTCAGCTGGGAAGGTCCTCCCTAAGGACTAAGGGGTCTCCGTCCCACACCAGGCGCCCCGCTCAGGGTTCCAGTGCCAGGAGGAGAATCCCCATCACTTCTGGCTGGAAAAACCAGGGGGACCTGAGGCTGAGGGAGGCTGAGGCTGCTGGAGCCCTAGGCAGCTGCTCTTCAAGGGCCCGTGCACAAACTTGGACTTTCTCCCTTTGGGCTCCAGCATGGGGGAGGCAGCTTGAAAGGTACCAGAGACATACAGAGCAAAACTGAGTTGTTTCTCAGTGGGCCAAGAACTGAGGGGCAACTTTCTCCTGGCCAGATTTTCTGTAGGAGGCTGTTGTTCCCTTGCTGAGCCCTTCCCTGAGGTGGCAGATGGGTACCATATCTGGGACTCCAGCAACCTGGCTCACAATGGTTGCCCTGCCCTGGTGATTCCCTGAGGCCCCGCCCCACCCAACTTTCAGGCCCACCCAAGCTGTTTCCAAAGGCTTTACCATAGGATTGGCCTGTCTTGGATCCTGCTTCAGGTTTTCCTAAATTCTTTCAAACAAGCAGCATCTGGTCTCAGCGAGCCCCATACCTCTTATCAAGTGGCCCCAGGCCTGGCACTAGAAGCAGTCAGCCTTGGTTCACAACTTGGCTTTGCCTGGGCACTTCCAAACTCAGCACAAGAAGCAGCCATCTGTAGATCACTTTGTAGCTTATGCCTGATGGCCCCGGGTAGAACACGCAGTGGCTGGCTTTGCCCCAGAGCCAGCACACCCAGCTTCAGACATGGTAAAGCACCACCACCCAACCACCTCCAGAAGTGACAAACTCAATGAGTGGTCTCAGTGGGTAGCGGAGCCCTGCTGAAGTAAATTTTGCTCTGTGTGGTGGGTCCTTACACAGCTGATCCTCCAAGGTAGTCAGAGGTCAGTGGTCAATGAGCACAGCCAGTCCTTGCAGCTGATCAGCCTGAGTAAATCTCTCCCATTGACATGCCAACAGCAGCCAAGACTCAATTACAACAGAAGGGTGTACACTAGGGGTGTACCTGGAGGGCCCAGCTGGGGTGATCAGGGAGGCTGGGCCACTGGACCTCACAGGACACCTACAACAATAGGCCACCCTAGGAAGCCTAGGAGACATAGCAACTCTACCTAATATAAAGAAAGAAACACAAGAAGGCAGCCAAAATAAGGAGGCAAAGGAACATGTCCCAGATGAAAGAACAGAACAAAACTCCAGGAAAAGAATTAAACAAAGTGGAGATAAGCAATCGATCAGATGTAGAGTTCAAAACACTGGTTATAAGGATGCTCAAGGAATTTGATAAGACCTTCAAGGAACTTAGTGAGAACATCAACAACATGAAAAAGGACCCATCAGAAATGAAGGATGCACTACCTGAAATAATAATTTACAGGGAATCAATAGTAGAGTAGGTAAAGTCAAGAAGCAGACCATCCATTTGGAATATAAGGAAGCAATACACACCCAATCAGAACAGCAAAAAGAAAAAAAAGAATAAAAACAAATGAGGACAGTGTTAGGAGCTTCTGGGACAACTTCAAGCGTACCAATATTCACATCATAGGGGTGCCAGAAGGAGAAGACAGAGAGCAAGGAATTGAAAACCTATTTGAAAAATAATGACAGAAAACTTCCCTAACTTGGTGAAGGAAACAGACATACAAGTCCAGGAAGCACAGAGAGTCTCAAACAAGATGAACCCAAAGAGGTCCTCACCAAGACACATCATCATCAAAATGCCAAAGGTTAAAGACAGAGAATCTTAAAAGCAGCAAGAGAAAAGCAGTTAGTTAGCTACAAAGGAGCCCCTATAAGACTGTCGGCTGATTTCTCAAAAGAAACTGCAGGCCAGAAGGGAGTGGCAAGAGATATTCAAAGTGATGAAAAGCAATGACCTACAACCAAGATTATTCTGCAAAGCTATCATTTAGAATCAATGGACATATCAAGAGTTTCCCAGACAAAAAGCTAAAGGAGTTCATCACACCAAACCAGTATTATATGAAATGTTGATGGGTCTTCTTGAAAGAGAAGAACAAAAATATGAACTGTAAAATGGCAATAAATACATATCTATCAACAATGAATCTACAAACAAAATGAGCAATCAGAACAGAAATGGTCTCATAGATACAGAGAACTTTTTGGGGGGTTGGGGGATGGGTGAAGAAGATGAAGGGATTAAGAAGTACAAATTGGTTGTTAGACTGATGAACCTCAGAGGGAAGTGGGGAGGAAGGACGGGAAGAGGTAAACCAAAGAACCTCTATGCCTATGTGCATAACCAATGGACACAGACAATAGTGTGGGGAAGGCGGGAAGGTGGTAGAAATGGGGTGGAGGGGGTCAAGGGGGGAAAAAGGGGGACATCTGTAGTACATTCAACAATAAAGGTAAGTAAAATAAATAAGTAAATAAACTCACACACACACACACACACACACACAACTCCACTGACATCTTTATTGCTTAATTTTTGTGCCCATTTACAGTGCTTTCCACATACACATTCGAAGTGGGGGGCGGGGGCGGGGGCGGTGACTGCCATGTCAGTCGCTGTCTGAAATCCAGCCTCGTAAGTGTGCACTTTTCTCCCCGCAGGCCCGCGCTCTCACCCCTCAAACTGCAGAGACAGATGCCATCCGGTTTCTGGTCGGGACGCAGTCTCTGAAGTATGAGAACCAGGTAACTATTTCTGACAAATGCATGCATGGTAACCGCACTGTGACCACTTTGCTCTTGGTTTTTCAAGCTACATTTGAGAAAGTTAATGCCACACAAAGCAAGTGAAACCGTCATTGGGATTTGAATATCCACCTGTAGGTACTGGCTGAGGCCAGTCATTTAAACCCGTCCTACGTGGCATTCCTGCCGTCGCTTTTGTAGTCACACAGGGTCACCGTGGACGTGATTGGGACGCAGCCTGGCGTCCATGGTCAGCATCAGCCCTCCCCCAGAAGTGATGCCTCTCCCTGCTCCTCGCACACCTTCTGCCGGGGCCTGGATGAGCCCCAGTCCGTCTCCCCAGGGAGGGGACTGGCGCTGTGGGTGCGGCTGTTGGCCTAGGGCCTCTGCACCGGGGCCTGATGACCACAGTCCTTCTCTCCTGGGAGGGGACTGGCGCTGTGGGTGCGGCTGTTGGCCTAGGGCCTCTGCACCGGGGCCTGATGACCACAGTCCTTCTCTCCTGGGAGGGGACTGGCGCTGTGGGTGCGGCTGTTGGCCTAGAGCCTCTGCACCGGGGCCTGGATGACCACAGTCCTTCTCCCGGGAGGGGACTGGTGCTGTGGGTGCGGCTGTTGGCCTAGAGCCTCTGCACCGGGGCCTGGATGACCACAGTCCTTCTCCCTGGAGGGGACTGGCGCTGTGGGTGCGGCTGTTGGCCTAGAGCCTCTGCACCGGGGCCTGATGACCACAGTCCTTCTCCCGGGAGGGGACTGGCGCTGTGGGTGCGGCTGTTGGCCTAGGGCCTCTGCACCGGGGCCGGCTCTGCTGGGAAGCGCGCCTGGCTCGGCGCCTGCCAGGGGCTGGTGTGGTCAGTAAGGCGGGTGCGGGCCCCCAGGGCCTGGTTGACTGAGGCCAGGAAGGTAAACACAGGCTTCCAGGACTGAGGGGGAACAGTGGAGACCTTTGACCCAGGGTCAAGGTCGGGCTGGGTCAGGCCGTTCCCACACCTGCTCTCTCGGTGGCCAGAACAGGTGGCGATGACCCCAGTGCTAAACAGATGAGGAAGTTGGCCCTAAGCAGTCACATGGTTTTCCAAGGTGACCCAGCTGGAATGTGGCAGAAGTGTGACTAAGACACCCCGCCCCCCGTCCCCCACTTCAGTTTGCACTTTATGAAGCATGTGCTGTGGGAATGTGTGTCCTGCGCTCTCTGTACATGTCTGCAGACCCCAAGCAGATGGTGTGGTGCTATGAGAGGCATGCCCAAGGTCAGGACAGCTGGCCCAGGCCCAGGCGGGCCCAGCCAGAGTGACAGGTCTGGGTCGGCGCTGCTGCAGCAGCTGTGACAATAGACTCTGTCACCTTGCTCTGAAGCCCCCCCCCCCCCCCCCCCCCCCCCCCCCCCCCCGCCTGCACAGCTCCAGGCCTTTCCTGGGAGTGGTGGCTGCTGGCTGCGCTGATGGCCCCCGGCTTTGCCTCGGGCCATCGGCCCCTCCAGGCAGGCTTCAATTCCCTAGAAAGTGCCCAGTGCGGAGCCCTTGCTATTTAATTCAGCAGTGCTACGTTTCTGGAAATTTCAGGAGCTGTCACGTCCCTGGCCTTTGTCAAAGGAAGTGCTTTGTTTTCTGTGCCCTTCATTCTGCACAGGACCCCATGTTGTCCGGGAGAGCCTGTCTGTCCCCTCCGGGCTCCTTCGTGAGGAGGGGGTATTCTCTTGGAGGGCTGTGCACGTTGATCACGGGGAAGCTCTGGGGAAGCTCGGCAGAGGGTAGGAACCCGGGTTTCAGGTGGGAGGGGTCTGCTGGCCTCTGATTGTGCTTTTCCTGGGGTTTGCCCTGCATATTGCCCCCCCCCACCCCGTTTCTTATGCAGATGAGGGATGGTGAGGGGTGTGCCAGGCTGTCCTAAGGAGGCCTGTGACCTCCCCTCCCAATACCGCCCTAAGGGTTGATTGCAGTCCAGGCTGGGAGAGGCTGATGGTCCTCAGGAGACACAGCACAGCGCCCCCCCCCCCCCCCCCCCCAGTGCTTTCCCTGCGCGTCCTTCCTTTCTAAGGCTGCTCCAGTGCTCTGGGCTTGCGCTGTGACGAGGGGTAGCTTGGTCACAGGTGCGCCTGTGCCCCCGGCCCTGTCCTTGGGCACCCTTGTTAGAAGTCAGATTCCCGGGCCCACACCAGACCTCTGACCCTCCTTTTCTCCCCCTCCTCCGCCCCCTTCCTGTTCCTCGAATGAGATGGGAATTTATTGCCTGTGTCATGGAAGCATCTCTCTAGGAGCCCGGTTTTGGGTGAGGCTGGACCCAGAGGCTCAACGGTGTTGCCGAGAACCCCATCATTCCCATTTCTGTATTTTTCTAGATGGCCTGCCAAATTTAGGGAGAACATCTGTTATGTTCTCTCTATCCCTCAAGTTCAGTGTCTGAGACGTGCTGCCCCAGATGCTCTCTGGGATTTGCCCGAATGGACTGAGGCACTTCTGTTCTGAGAACCGTCCTCACAGGCACGGTGGGCTGGGGAGCGTGGGGTCTCTGTTCTGCCAAGTGCACACTGGGGCCAGTGAAGGGCGTGAGCGTGCTGGGTGTCTGCACAAGCAAAGGGCACAGCCTGGGTAGGTAAGGGGTAGGCACGCTGCGGCATGGCGAGCATGTTTGATCACGCTGAACTCTTACTTATAAAGTTTCAGCTGAAGGACCAGATCCCTAAATTTACAAATGCTAAAGCAAGATCCCAGACACAGTGAGTGACTGGCGCAGCATCACACAGCCAGGAAGTGGCAGAATCAGAGCCAGAACCCGGCCTCCTGATCCCAACATGCTGCGGCCAAGCAGACTGCAGGGGGAGCCGGGTCTGGGGTGCTCGCGTGAACAGGGGAGAGAGCTGGAGAGGAGAGACCCTCAGGGTGGCTTGCCACTTACACTATTTTTTTTTTTTTTTAATTCTCACCTGAGGATATTTTTCCATTGATTTTCAGACAGAGTGGAAGGGAGAGAGGGAAAGAGAGAAACATCAGTGTGAGAGAGACCCATCGATTGGTTGCCTCCCGCATGACCCTGACCAGGGCCAGGAATCAAATCGAAACTGAGCTGCGTGCCCGTGACTGGAATCAAACCCACGACTCTTTGGTCCACGGGCTGATGTTCCAACTGCTGAGCCAAACCAGCCAGGGCCTGCCGCCTGCACTATTCTGTATTACTCTCGAGGACAGGCCAGGCCAGTGGGAAGGTATTTTTGTTATGGATGAGAGGGCAGAGGTGAATTATGGTGAGGCCATGGCTGGGGTTGAGGTGGTGGTCGGATAGGTGGGGGTGCCTCCTGTGGGTGGGTAAGCCCAGTCAGTCTTCTAGCTAGGACAGTTCAGCTAACCCAAGGGGAGCTTTTGATTTCTCGTTTTCAATTTTACACACTTAAAAATACTTTTTTCGAGAGTATGTTTATATTCATTCAGTAAGAATGAATGGAAAGGCAGGGCTAGACTCGGGTGCTCAGGTCTGGTCTGGGCTCCTGCAGGGCTGGACTCATGTGCTCAGGTCTGGTCTGGGCCCCTGCAGGCTGGACTCATGTGCTCAGGTCTGGTCTGGGCCTCTGCAGGCTGGACTCGGGTGCTCAGGTCTGGTCTGGGCCCCTGCAGCCTGGGCTGTGGCTGTAGGTTTGGGATCCCTGACTCTGAGCCCTGATTCTCCAGCAGATTGAGGGAGAGCTGATGGGCTCCCTAATACCTTTTTTTTCTTTATTGACTTGAGAGAGAGAGAGAAAGGGAGAGGGAGAGAGAGAGAAACATCGATGAGAGAGAACATGGATTGGCTGCCTCCTGCATACCCTCCACTGGGAATCGAGCCCACAACCCGGGCGTGTGCCCTGGGCGGGAATCGAACCGGGACCTCTTGGTTCATGGGTCAATGTTCAGCCACTGAGCTACACTGCTGGGCTGTTGGACTCATTTTTTTTTTTTTATTCTCACCCGAGGACATTTTTCGATATTTTGTTCAGATAGAGTGGGAGGGAGAGAGAGAGAGAAACATCGACGTGAAAGGGACACATTGAATGGTTGCCACCCACACAACTCAACCAGGGCCAGGGACAAAGTGTAACCGAGGTACGAGCCCTTAGCAGGAACCAAACCCGGGTCTCTCTGGACCACAGGCCGACGCTCTAACCGCTGAGCCAAACCGGTCAGAGCTGTTGGACTCATTTTTAAAAAGAAATTTAAGGCGTGCTAGCGTACAGTCCTATCTCAGTCCTTCCCACCTCAGCCGTGTGTGACACATTTCACGCCCACCGCGGAGCAGGCCGAGCTGGTCAGTCCAGGCCCAGAGAGGCAGTAGAACCTGCCCCACCCACAGCCATGTGTGACACGTGTCACGCCCACCGCGGAGCAGGCCGAGCTGGTCATCGGGGACAGAGCTTTGGTGTCATGTCTCTTTGGGACCAGCGATGACAGTCATGTCATGTGTCTCAGCAGTATGAGATGTCACACGTGTCTTTCGAGAGGAGTGCAGTGAGCGGAACACACAGCTGCACTGTTAGCGTAACAAGGAGAACACCTAAAAACGCCAAAGATGCTTCTGCTCCTCCCTTTGTCACTATGTCATTACGTGAGGTCCTGACTTGCTCTGTGTTGTGTTTGTAGATCCACATCATAGATTTTGATGACGAAAACAACATCATAAACAAAAATGTCCTCCTGCACCAAGTGGGTGAGATCTGGCACATCAGCGCCAGCCCCGCAGACAAAGGTGTGCTGGCCACCTGCTACAACAAGAGTGAGTACCCAGCCTTCCGTGCTCCCAGAGGGTCGCCGCGTGGGGTTGCTGTTGTGTGGCTCGTGGGTTGGCGCGTGACTCGCAGGACCTGCGACCCGAGAGGGCGATGCGTTCACGGAGAAGCTGTGCGCCTGGGCGGGCGGCGCAGCGGGTGTGGGATCCCAGCTGTCCCGGAGCTCTACCCTTGGGTGGGGGTCATGTGCCGGAGGTTCTGGAATAGAGGACGCAGGTGTCCTCCCGCAGTAGTTATCTGCACCGTCCAGAAGGCAGCTGGCCTCTCCTGCTGCCTGCGTGTGTGTGGTCACAGGTAACAGGTGAGGACAGCTAACGTTCTGTGTCCTGCTAACCGCTCCTCGCTCGCCAGTCCAGACGTCTGTGACACACTTCTGGTTCTGCTTTCTGTCATCGCCAACGGCCTGTGTTCAGATTCTGCCCCCAGAGAAGAGCCTCCCTTCTCACTCCTGCTACGTGGGCCACACGAAGCCTTGTGGCGCTGCTGTGTGGTTTCCAAAGGTTTCCTTCGGCCTTGGCCGCTGTGCTCAGTGGTCAGAACACCAGCTCCAGAACCAAAGGGTCACAGGTTTGATTCCTGGCTGGGACCCATACCTGGGTTGCAGGTATTTGAGCCCCGCCTGGTCAGGATATTTATGGGATGTGCAGGAGGCAACCAATTGATGTGTCTCTCTCACATTGATGTTCCTCTCTTTCTCTTCTTCTTTCTCCCTCCCTTCAGTCTCTCTAAAAATCAAAGCAAAAATATCCTCAGGTGAGGATTAACAAAAAATAAAATAAAATAAATACCTTTCTTCTTCAGGGAAAAATAATTATTTTTTGAAAAGTCTTTCTGCCCTAGATTCTTTATTTCTTTTTTTTTCAATCCTCACCGGAGGACACTTTTCCATTTTTTGTTCAGATAGAGTGGGAGGGAGAGAGAGGAACGGAGAGAGAGAGAGAAACATCGATGTGAAAGGAACACATCGAGTGGCTGCCACCCGCACGACCGACCAGGGCCGGGGACAAACTGCAACCGAGGTATGTGCCCTTAGAGGGAACTGAACCCGGGTCTCTCAGGACCGCAGGCTGACGCTCTAACCGCTGAGCCAAACCGGCCAGGGCTTTATTTCTTATTGTTACATTTAATTGCACCTTTTGGTTGCTGGGGCGTAGCGCCCCAGGAGCCCAGCCTCCCATCCCTGTCTCCCTCATCGCTGGCGGTGGGGACAGCCTCTCCAGAGAGGCCATGTCTTTCTTCTCTGTCGCCGTTGAGGAGTCACTCACCATCCTGCGGGCTGGGGTGTCCACCCTGAGTCTCCAAAGCACATCTGGGATGAAAGCATACTTTTACCCTTGCGTGTAAATAGCTACTGTGTTAAACAACTCAGAATAAGCGTTGACAAGTGCCCCCCACACACCCATTTGGTGTGGCTGGGTTGCGAGTCTGCGGCCCTGACCGGTGACCCGGTTCTCTGTGGGTTGCGAGTCTGCGGCCCTGACAGGTGACCCCGTTCTCTGTGGGCTGCGAGTCTGCGGCCCTGACCGGTGACCCCGTTCTCTGTGGGTTGCGAGTCTGCGGCCCTGACAGGTGACCCCGTTCTCTGTGGGCTGCGAGTCTGCGGCCCTGACAGGTGACCCCGTTCTCTGTGGGTTGCGAGTCTGCGGCCCTGACAGGTGACCCCGTTCTCTGTGGGCTGCGAGTCTGCGGCCCTGACCGGTGACCCCGTTCTCTGTGGGTTGCGAGTCTGCGGCCCTGACAGGTGACCCCGTTCTCTGTGGGCTGCGAGTCTGCGGCCCTGACAGGTGACCCCGTTCTCTGTGGGCTGCGAGTCTGCGGCCCTGACCGGTGACCCGGTTCTCTGTGGGCTGCGAGTCTACGGCCCTGACCGGTGACCCCGTTCTCTGTGGGTTGCGAGTCTGCGGCCCTGACAGGTGACCCCGTTCTCTGTGGGTTGCGAGTCTGCGGCCCTGACAGGTGACCCCGTTCTCTGTGGGCTGCGAGTCTGCGGCCCTGACCGGTGACCCGGTTCCCTGTGGGTTGCGAGTCTGCGGCCCTGACCGGTGACCCGGTTCCCTGTGGGTTGCGAGTCTGCGGCCCTGACCGGTGACCCGGTTCTCTGTGGGTTGCGAGTCTGCGGCCCTGACCGGTGACCCCGTTCTCTGTGGGTTGCGAGTCTGCGGCCCTGACCGGTGACCCCGTTCTCTGTGGGTTGCGAGTCTGCGGCCCTGATGGTGACCCCGTTGTCTGTGGGAGGCCGTGTCCCTGCACTGGTGGCCTCCCTGCCCGCCCCTGGCCTTGCCGCCGTCTGCTTCCACCTGCCTCCAGCCGGCATCTGCCCCACCACACCCTTTCCTTTCAATCCTCACTGGAGGTCAAGTGGGAGGGAGGGAGAGAGCGAGCAGAACATCCATGTAAGAGAGACACTGATTGGCTGCCTCCTCATCAGCCTGGCCAGGGCCGGGGATCAAACCTGCAACCCAGGTGGCGCCCTAGACTAGGAATCGAACCCGTGGCCCTTTGGTGCGTGGGCTGAAGCTCCACCTGCTGAGCCACACTGGCCAGGGCCCTGCGCCCTTCAAGGGAGGGCGGCAGTCCTCCTGGCTGGAGTTAAGGGGAAGTTCCTGCACATGCAAGTAAACAGAGGCGGTCCTCGTCCAGAGGAGTGACCTTCAGACGCTGACCAGTGTCCCCTTGATTAGCGCAGGGTCAGCCGACCTTCATTTCCTGCCCAGGTGCTCTCCCTTTGCCTGCAACACAGCAGCACCAGCGGCACCGGTCACCTGCAGGAATTCGCTGGTCAGGAGCCCGTCATGGGTCCTGCTGCTTGAGGGGCCGGGCCTGCAGGAGACGCCCCACCCCGCCCCGCCCCCCCACCGACGTGCAAGCAGCGCCTGCGCCCGCGCCCGAGCCCTGTCCTGCACGTGGGCGGCCGCGGCCGCTGTGGCCCCTCGGTCGGCCTTTCTTTCAAGGCTGGAGCTGCACCTGGCCCTCGTCCCCCCGGAGGTGCTCCTGGTCTCGCGCGCCCCGCGTGGGCCGTAGGAGGGGCGGCGCACGGGGCGGAGGGAGCCGCGCAGATGTGATCTGGGTCCCGCGTTCCCACCCCGCGCGCCCTGCAGAGATGCTCGTGTTCCCGTGCCTGGGGCACCCGCCCGCGCTTCCCGGCCCCTGCCCTGCCGCAGCCTGACGCCCTTGGTTCTGGGGGTCAGCGTGGCGTAGTGGAGAGCGGCGGTTCCCTTCCTTCAAGGACGAGGGCCTCCGAGCCGTGTCCGGCCCTGTGCCCGGCCCGGCTAGGTTCTGGCAAGGACTAGGGCAGAAGGAGGTCGGCAGGGCCTCCAGGAGCTTCCTGCTGGGTCCTCTCCACGGTGCCCAGAAATGCTTAGATCTCCCGGGGAGGAGGACAGAGGAAACATCCCTGGGAAAGTGGGCTCCGCGCAGTGAAGAAGCCAAATCCTACTCTTGAGAAATCTTGGAATTGTTTGTTATAAACAATAATGTTTAAAGATCTGTTGCCCTGGATGGTTTGGCTAAGTGGTTAGAGCGTTGGTCCACAGACCAAAGAGTCGTGGGTTTGATTCCAGGCAAGGGCGTGTACCTCAGTTGCCGTTCGTCCCAGGCCCCAGTTGGGGTCATGCGGGTGGCAACCAATAGATGTGCCTCGTTCACATCGGTGTTTCTCTCTCTCTCTCCCTCCCTCCCACTCTATCTGAAGATAAATGTAAAAATATCCTTGGGTGAGGATTAAAATAAATAAATAAATAAAAATGAAGATCTATTTATTGCAACATGCAAAAAAGTACCTATTAGTGGAAGCATGCATTGTGATAGAACTCTTACACACACACACACACACAAATACACACTCACATACTCTGGAATATCACAGTGGCCTTGCAAATCGATATGAAAAATTGGATTCACTCAGGACTTGTTTTTAAAGATGCAAATGAGGACACCTCACGCCATCTCTCTTATTGTCCTTCTGGGGAGGCACGGTGAACAGAGGCAGCAGCCCGTCCCCTGCACGCCTGAGTTGGGGTCTCTGCACACCGCCTAGAAAGCGGCAGCGCATTTGCAGGAGACTAACGTGACCTAGAATTCAAACCCTTTGTCTCCTCCAATCGCACAGCCACCCGGCCTAGTGTGCATCTCCGACTTTTGGGGACGGAGTTGTCAGGGATCCTTACCAGCGCTCCGTCACTGCCCTCCACTGAGCTTCCCCATCACCTCTGGTGCCTGACAGCTTGTCCTGGGAGCCAGGGTGGCGGGGGAGCATGGCACACACAGCAAACTCTTCTGGATGAAGATTTTAAAAACCCTCCAGCTTTCTTTCTTTTAAATATATGTTTTTTATTGGTTTTTTAGAGAGAGAGAGAAACATCGATGTGAGAGAGAAACATCAGTCGGCTGCCTCCTGCACGCCCCCTACTGGGGATCAATCTCGAAACCCGGCATGTGCCCTGAGCGGCATTCGAACCAGGACCTCTCAGTCCAGGGGACGACGCTCAGTCCCCTGAGCCACACCGGCTGGGCCCTCCAGCTCTTCTTTCTGACAGTTTTATAAGAATGATGCCTCATATGGCAGCCAGAGGCCACGTGGGAGGGTGAGGCTGTCACCATGGTCGTCCGCAGCCTGGAGCCCTGGGCGTCCTCACAGTGACCAAGCAGACACTGGGCGGTGTGCAGCCCGGGCCGTGACAGCCAACGGGCCCTTCGGGAGACAGGCTAAGCACCCTGCAGACAGCAGTAAACTTCGAATTGTTGCCCCGTGTCCACCTGGGAAGGCTGGGTCTCTGAAGCCCAGACATCCTGTCACTCAGGGAAATGACACAGGGTTGTGTTTGTGTGCGACTTCTTTTTTTTTTTTTATCTTCACCCGAGGACATTTTTCCATTTTTTATTCATATAGAGCAGGAAGGAGAGAGAGGAAGAGAGAGAGAGAAACATCGATGTGAAAGGGACACATCGAGTGGCCGCCACCCACACAACCCAACCAGGGCTGGGGACA